CATAGCTCACAGCAAACTCTTAGACTCAAGAGATCCTCTTGCCTCAGTTTTTCTCTTTTTAGTAGAGACAGGGTCTCACTCTTGCTCAGGCTGGTCTGGAACTACTGACCTCAAGCAATCCACTGCCCCAGCCTCCCAGAGTGCTAGGATTACAGGTATGAGCCGCCTTGCTCTGCCTGATTATTACTTTGTATATATTTTGTCCTTTCTATTTGTATATGTTTGACTGGTGTCCTAAACTCAAATGTGCCTAGGTGTGGATTTTTAAATATTTATTCAGTTTGGGATTTGTTATGCTTCTTAAATCTGCACATTCATAGCCTTTACCTATTTTGAGAGATTCTCAGAAATTACATTGTAAAATATTACTTCTTTCTCTTTTTCTCTGTTAGTTAGATCTATACCCTTATCCTTAGATCTCCAAAATAATTTATGTTAGACTCTCCTATTCTGTCCTCCATGCCTTGCCTCTTAAATTTGCTCCTAGACTTTTTTTTTTATTAAGTCTTATATACATAGATCATGAATACATTTATGCTTTTGTGGGATTCAAAGTGTTGATTATTTGTACAAATTGGAGTGCTTTCATCCTACTAATTAACACAGATTTCACCTCGTTTACTTAAACACAGTATTAAGACATTTGTGTTCAATACTTGATTTGACAGTATACTCTATAGATGTAGCCCCACCATTAACCCTCCCTCTATTGAACCCCTCCTTTCCATCCCCTTCCCCTTCCCTCCTTCATCCTGGGCTATAGTTGTGATTCATCTCTCATATGAAAATGTGAGTGATTATCAATTGGTTTTATAGTAGTACTGAGTACATTGGATATTTTTTTTTCCATTCCTGAGATGCTTTACTAAGAAGAATGTTTTCTAGTTCCATCCATGTAAACATAAAAGAGGTAAAGTCTTCATCTTTTTTTAATGCTGCATAGTATTCCATGGTATACATACACCACAATTTATTGATCCATTCATGGGTTGATGGGCACTTGGGCTTCTTCCAAGACTTGGCAATTATGAATTGAGCTTCAGTGAACAATCTGGTGCAAATATCTTTGTTGTAAAGTGATTTTTGGTCTTTTGGATATACACCTAGTAGAGGAATTGCAGGATCAAACAGCAGGTCTACATTTAGATCCCTGAGTGTTCTCCAAACTTCTTTCCAAAAGAAACGTACTAGCTTACATTCCCACTAGCAGTGCAGAAGTGTTCACTTTTTTCCACATCCACGCTAACATCTATAGTTTGGGGATTTTGTGATGTGGGTTACTCTTTACTGGAGTTAGATGGTATCTCAAAGTGGTTTTGGTTTGCATTTCTCTGATAATTAAAGATGATGAGCATTTTTTCATGTGTCTGTAGACCATTTGCCTGTCTTCTTCAGAGAAGCTTCTGTTCATGTCTTTTGCCCACAATGAAATAGGATTATTTGTTCTTTTCTTATTAATAAGTTTGTGGATTCTGGTTATTAGACCTTTGTTGAAAATATAACCTGCAAAAATCCTCTCCCATTCTGAGGGGTGTCTATGCTTTACTTACTGTGTTCTTGGCAGTACAGAAGCTTCTTAGTTTGATCAGATCCCAGTAATGTATTGTTGATGTTGCTTCAATTGCCTGGGAGGTCTTCCTCATTGGTCCCAGGCCAATTTTTTCAAGTATTTCCCCTGCCCTTTCTCCAAGAATTTTTATAGTTTCATGTCTTAAGTTTCAGTCCTTTAACCAGTGAGAATCAATTTTTGTTAGAGGAGAAAGGTGTGGGTCCAGTTTTAGTCTTCTACAAGTCGCCAGCCAATTCACCCAGCACCATTTGTTAAATAGGGAATCTTTCCCCCAATTTATATTTTTAATAGGCTTCTCAAAGATCAAATGATGGTAAGTCTCTTGGTTTTCAATTAGCCAGAAAGAAGTGGAAATGTTGAACAAGCCTATATCAAGTTCTGAAATAGCATCAGTTATAAGAAATCTCCCCAAAAAGAAAAGCCCAGGACCAGATGGCTTCACATCAGAATTCTAACAAACCTTTAAAGAAGAACTAGTACCTATATTACTTAACCTTTTCCAAAACATAGAAAAAGAAGGAATACTTCCCAACACATTCTATAAAGCAAATATCACCCTGATCCCCAAAGCAGGAAAAGACCCAACAAGAAAAGAAAATTAGGCTCGGCACCTATAGCTCAACCGGCTAAGGCGCCAGCCACGTACACCTAAGGTGG